TGTTTCGTAGCTTGCACAAGCGTTTTTGCACTGGCAGCCATGAACATCAGCCCATCGCTGGTCAAACCATGGTTGGTGGCATCCGGTTTCCATTGTCACAATTTACTGAGGGATACCCGAGCCGTTTTGCCCGACAAGTTGCCCGTTGCATTTGCCATGACCAGTCACATCCTGTTTTGGTAAGTAGACTCATGGCCCCACAGGTCAGCATCGAAGAACACCCTACCAAGAAACGCAGATTGGGACAGAAGACCGATGCTGACACTATTGCCAGGCAATTTCCGAGTGTCAATTGGCAGACAGTGCTGAAGCTGGCTGACTCAACTGCCCGCCGTGTTGGGACAATGGTCATTGACAATGGCCCACTGTTGCAACAAGTGCAAGAAATGTGCCCCCAACATGAGATCAAACACCTCGTTTTGTGCCGCGGAACTGACCGATATGTAGGCCCAAATAAGCCCATGTATCCGGGTGAAGCTCCCTTGAGAAGAATGATTTGCATTCGTCGCAAAGTAGAAGGGATCTATGTGGATGAAGAATGGGAAGCATGGGAAAGACTCACCTACAAAGGGTTGCGTAGGAAAGCTGTTGCTGCTCGTCTTAGCCTCACAATGTTTGCACGTCCCCGGGTGACCCCTGTTCCAACAGCTGAACCTTCTGCCGACACTGTAATCCCTGCAGTCCGAGTGCATGGACTTGAAAGTCCAGAAAGTCCATCCAGCAAGCGACACCGGTGTCATGAGCCCAGCAGTCATGCAGAGCCACCACAATTGCAATTCCATACTGGTCCCAATAACAGTAACAACACCAATAACCTGTCCAATAACACTCATAATAACCAAGAGTCCATAGGCCATGATGCAATTCCACTTGAACCACAAGACATGACCGCAATGAGAGAAGGAGAGACTGTTCAGGGGAACTCAGAAAAGGCCGAGACCAATGGAGAAACCCGACAGGCAATTGACTTGGCATCACAAAGACATGGACCAAAGTTCTTACAATTGCCCAGCAATGAACAGTCATGGTTGTTGAAGATTCACCGTAATCTGGGCCACCCGGGTAGTCCAAAGCTGGTAGAATTTTGCCGTCAGCTCAAATGCCCTGAGCGAATTCTCCAAGCAATACCCGACTTGCAGTGTTCGACCTGCAAGGAAACACAGATGCCAAGAATTGCCCGACCAAGTGCCATACACGAGCATGGTGACTTTGGAGATGTGATAGCGATGGATGGTATCACATGGACTAACAAACAAGGTGAACAATACCATTTCTATCATTTCCTGGATCAAAGCACATTGTATCATACTGCAGTGTGTTCAGTATCAAGGTCATCACACCATGCCTCACAAGCCCTTTTGCAGGGATGGCTACAATGGGCAGGTGCACCCAAGTTGCTGGTCATGGATGCGGCATCGGAATTTAATTCCGACGAGTTTGGGTTGTTTTTGCAGCGGTTCGGCATCAAGAGTAGGACTTGTGCGACAGAAGGGCACTGGCAAAACTCAAGGGTGGAACGTCATGGGGGCATACTCCAAATGATTCTCAACAAAATGGATCATGAAGAAGGGATCACCTCCTATCACCAGTTGTCAGTAGCACTTGCCCAGGCCACCATGACAAAGAATCAATGGAGCCGTTACCGTGGCTATCCTCCAGAAATGCTTGTGTTTGGAAAGGGATCAAAGTTGGGGGGTTCAGTAGTAAATGATGAAGAAACCGCCTCCCATCATGCAGCTTTGCACCCGACTCCAGAAGGAGTAAAGTTCAGAGAAGAGCTAGCCACGCGAGAACGCGCTCGCCGTGCCTTTGTGTCAATTGACAATGACCAAGTGTTGCGCAGAGCCCTGACTAGCCGCAGTCGACCCAATAGAGGTCACTACAGCCCAGGCACATGGATCATGCTGTGGAAACGTAAGGGAGAAGCTGAAGGCCAATGGGAAGGACCAATGCAAGTCATCATCCAAGAAGAAAACAGGGTCATTTGGGTAACCAAGGGGACGAAATTGTACAGAGCAGCTCCTGAACATGTTCGACCTCTCTCAGCCGTAGAGGAGTGGCACCAAAGTAGTTCCCATGCACCGCGTTTCCAACCGTCAAACCCTCAACAATCAATAATTCCTCACCATGGTGGTACCCAATTTCATAACCTCCCAATGCCAGATAACGTACCTCAGAATTCTAATCGTCATAACCATCCTCAACAACCACTTTTAGCACCCGAAATGCCAGTGAATGATCAAGCCTCCCAAAGGTCAGCAGACCACAGTGTACAGAGTGATCCGGAACCAGAAGCAGCTCCCTCGGAGCCTGAACTGGGCAGTCAAGCCAATGCAAGAGTTCCCATTGTCAGCCCACCAGCGGCCCCAGCAGTGATGTCACAGAGCCAAGTAGACACACCCGTAGATGTTCCAGTGCCAACCGATGATGATGAACTTTTTGCTGAAGAAGTAGATTGTTTCACACTGGTAGATGACTTGGTTTGGCGCCTCGAAGTGGACATCTCACAGAGGGATGTCGACCAATGGAGAGCTGAAGAACACCCAACTGAAATGGGCTTCCTGGTTTCCGCTGCCAAAAGACAGAGAAGCGAAGTGAAAATGTCACAACTGTCAAACAAAGAAAAGGAGTTATTCCACCAAGCCAAAATGAAGGAAATAGACAGCTGGCTGGCTACTGAGACAGTGGCTCGTGTCTTGCGGCATCAAATACCAGAGTCCAATATCATGCGTTGCAGGTGGATCTTGACGTGGAAGCCTGTGGACTCCCACTCTGAGGGTCCAAAACAACACACACCCAAAGCTCGACTGGTTGTTTTGGGGTATGAGGACCCACTTGTTCATGAGATTCCAAGGGACTCCCCAACAATGTCCAAACTGTCACGAATGTTGATTCTCCAACTTGCAGCTTCCAATGGATGGGACATTGAATCCTTTGACATCAAGACGGCTTTCTTGAGGGGATCTGAACAGGGTGACAGAGTTTTGGGAATTGAACCCACTGCTGAGCTTCGGGAACGTTTAAAACTGCAACCCAATGAGGTGCTACAGTTGCTCAAGGGTGCCTACGGTCGAGTAGATGCTCCCTACCTGTGGTTCATGGAACTCAAACGTGGTCTAGAATCTTTGGGATTCAGTGCCTCGCCTTTTGACCCTTGTACTTTTGTGTTGGTCAACCCGAAAACCGGGGCAACGGAAGGGGTCGTAGGAGTTCATGTAGACGATGGTTTATGTTGCGGCTCGAAGCTGTTTCAGGAAAAATTGACGGCTTTATCCAAGATGTTTCCATTTGGATCTCACAAGAAAAGAAATTTCACCTTCACTGGACTGAGAATCGACCAACAACCTGACCACTCCATTTACGTCAACCAGACTCAATATGTCAAAGATATACACCCAATTGCCATAGCCAAGAACCGAAAGATGCATCCAGATGAGCCAGTCAATGAAAACGAGCGACAGAGCCTGCGAGGGCTTATTGGATCACTCCAATACGCCGCAGTCAACACCCGGCCGGACCTGTGCAGCAGACTAGGAAACCTACAATCCCAAATTAACAAAGCCAAGATTTCCACTTTGAATGATGCCAATAAAACTCTTCATGAAGCCAAACTCCACTCAGATGTTACCCTTAAAATCCAACCAATTTCCCTTAACCACCTTAGATTTGCAGCCTTCTCAGACGCATCCTTTGCATCGGCCAAACTTCCCGACTCACACCAAGGAATGATGATCATGTCATGCCATGATGAACTTGGAAGAAACCGAACCAGTGTTGTGAACCCGATCATGTGGCATTCAAAAAAGATACAAAAGGTAGCAGTGAGCACGCTGTCTGCAGAGGCAATGGCCCTGGCTGGTGCGGTAGATATGTTATCCTGGGTGAGACTGTATTGGGGCTGGTTAATCGACACAAAAATTCCTTGGAAACAAGCAGATCAAACACTACTTCAATTACCACCGGCGTTTGCAGCAATTCCTCCCACCGAAGATGAAAATCAAAACATTCCCCATGACAAAGTCCAACAACTTCTACACCAGCTACCAAAGTCGAATAGCGGGATAATTACCACTGATTGTAAATCACTGTATGACCTCATCAGCCGAACTGCTCCTCCAAGCTGTCAAGAATTCCGTACGTTGCTTCAGGCTAAGTTGATCAAAGAACACCTCCAAAACGGTATTCAAATTCGGTGGGTCCCATCAGGAGCTCAAGTTGCAGACTCGTTGACCAAAGTGATGAATAATGCCATGCTCCGGGAATGTCTCCAGCTGGGGAAATACTGTTTACATGATGAAAGCGAAATCCTCAAAGCCCGGTCAGACTCTAGAAGCAGACTGCAATGGTTGCGGCAGAACGCAAACACATATAGGGAGTGATGATATTGGAAAAGCCAAGCCGTCCTCTTGTCATCCATTTTGGGAAATATGTGAAGTTCCATCAACCTTGCGGAACATTGTGAATCTTTTGTTGTAGAGGGAATGTAAAATCTCTGCCGATTCACAATGACCATGCACCACAACCTTAAGCTTGGGTCACCTGCAGACCGCATGTTCTCTGAAGCTGGGGCGGCTCAGAGAGCCTTTTGAGGAGGGCGTGGTTAGCTTGAGCCATAGGTGCCTAGCTTCTGTGCTTGCTAGGCCTTTTGGTCGTGGCGACCTTACCGTGTTGGATTCAGTGCGATCTTGGAGAAACATTCAGCTGCCGTGCGGCTGCGGAGTGTCAGGGACACACTTGGAGATTGGGGCCTGCTGCCAGTTTGGGGATTCCAAAACATATACATATACATATACATATACATATACATATACATATACATATACATATACATATACATATACATATACATATTATTATAATATATATATATATTCTACACACATCAGTTATCAAAATCCTGGAGTCCGCTGTTCTTGATTGGTTTAAAGAAAAATCCACTACGTCGACTCAGAGTCCGCCCAGCTCTCTGAGGGCTCGCCATACAAGGACCCAAAGTCCGCCTTGTCAATGCAGCGATCTAGGCTCCGAAAAACGCTGTCACAAAGGCTAATGTCCTGGCAGTCGCTAAGGCTCATGTGTTTGGAAAACCAGGTAAATCCCAAGTGAAACGAGAGCTACAACATGACAAGCCACGTTCCCAAATCTATCCAACTTGCACATGTATATACGTATAATATCTGACGAATATTCATAAGCATTCTTGACCAACGTGAGCCATGCAGAATTTCCATCCAACATCTCCTTCGGGAGTTCCTCCACTGCCATCATGGTTGGGAGGATCGGAAAAGTCATCCTATCCTCGGTGATCAGCAGCCACTGGTCGTGGAATCTGTGGCGAACTGCACGCACCGCACGCACCTTGTACGCGTGCATCTCGGTCCATGTCAGACCATGACCTCAGCATGAATAAGAGATGTGTAACAAGAATCTGAAGTTCAACCAATTTTGAGTTGATTGCAATTGTTGATATAGTTCTGACATGTGTTGACTCACACTCGTAAAACTGACAAAGTACATCCGGAAAAATTCCGGTTGTTTTGAATTCAAATTGATTCATGTGGATTCCTGTTTTTATGGCCACAATTGTGTTCAATTTTTTTGACATATGGAGGAAAAAAAACATGGATACGATATGAATGTTATTGTTTATGTTGTAACATGACATGATAAATATTTCATGTGCATTACTTAATGATTAATCAAGTCTTCATATGTTTACCATATTCACCTTTACCATCCTTTACCGGATTTGGCATCATTTTGGGTCATCACATGTCGCATGAGACTCTGACGCTTCTCAGCACTGTTCAGGCGAGCTTTTTCTGGTTCCTCAGAAACTTCGCTATTTCCCTTGTTTAAATCACGAGTTTTCAAATTCAAATGCGAAAATTTGACTTTAACCGGCGTAACCGGCTTGACCGGTTTAACCCATGTCATTACCGGTGTTCCATGTCTTCGAATTTTGTACACACGTACGCTAGTAAATCGGCCATACATCACGTGAATCACATGCACATTGTTTCCCAGCCTGCTGGCGGCCAAGGACCCGTTTCACTTCTCCACGTTCACCTGTAATCTAGGGTTGACAAAAACACAAAACTGTTGAGATTTAACAAGTGGCACAATTGAAGCATTGATTCTGTTTTGAAAATGATGTTTATGTTGTCATAACAAGTCACAAGTTGAACTATCCTGCAATCATGTCACTCCACGCTGACCAAAAACAAATTCACAATGTGACATGATCACAAGATACGTGGATGACCTGCATCTTGCTCTCTGGCGTTGTCAGCCATGAACCTGCAAAATAACTAAGACAGTTATATAAAGACAGTCAACATGGATAGATTTTGCGGTGTTCAACGAACAGTTCGACCGGGAACGCGTACCACACAACTCTGGCAGTTTCAGCAACTATCCGAAATCGAAATGGTTTTGACGCAACTTTGTTTGTTCGTGCTGGGTTGGTGGGAACGGTTTTACAACTGAAAAAACGATTTTGTGTTTGCATGCATGATATGTCCACGTTCATTTGGTTTGAACCAAAAAAGAACTGAGCAAATTCCGCAAATATAAGATAACATATCCAAATGTCCAGATTTGGTGACAACCATGGTTTCCATCCGTCAGTTCTTGAACACAACATAGTGTCCCAATTCGTCATCTTGCAAAGTAAATCTGAAAATTGCCCAAATTAGACACCAGGTTTCCTATCAAGATCCTGTACCATACTAGGATTAGGACGCAACCTTCTTCCGGAAAGACTTTGCCAAAGAAGCAAACACCTTCCTTCGTTGAATGATTTGGCATGACACTACACGACATGTCAGGTCACACATGTCGTGTCGTGCCGTGTCATGTCATGTCATGTCACGTAAATTGCATGACATGACATCAGTCCAAAGGCGGCAATGTGCAACTAGTTTACATGACATGACATCTCATTAGAGGCTGTGGTTGATGACATGACATGACATTACATTACATTGCATTTGAAGAAACATTACATGACATCAATTTTTGAGAGGGTTGGCTTGACAAAGGTGCACGGTTAAAGTGTGCAGAATCGAGGATCGAGAATCGAGAATCGAGAATCGAGGATCGAGGATCGAGGATCGCGGATCGAGAATCGAGAATCGAGAATCGAGAATCGAGAATCGAGGATCGAGAATCGAGGATCGAGAATCGAGAATCGAAGATCGAGGATCGAGAATCGAGGATCGAGGATCGAGGATCGCGGATCGAGAATCGAGAATCGAGAATCGAGAATCGAGGATCGAGAATCGAGGATCGAGAATCGAGAATCGAGGATCGAGGATCGAGAATCGAGAATCGAGAATCGAGAATCGAGGATCGAGAATCGAGGATCGAGAATCGAGGATCGAGAATCGAGAATCGAGAATCGAGAATCGAGAATCGAGAATCGAGAATCGAGGATCGAGGATCGAGGATCGAGGATCGAGGATCGAGGATCGAGAATCGAGAATCGAGAATCGAGGATCGAGGATGGAGAAAAACAAGATATACAAGATTGATTGGGGATCGAGGATCGAGGATGAAGAACGCTAGCGGCGTGCGCAGTCAAGGTTTGGGAACAATATGCGTACGTAATGATGGTAGGCATGTGTGTGAACGGGTCATAGTTCAGTGCCCTCATTGATTCATGTCGGCATGTAAATAATGAAACAGTGTACCCTTGGCAAGCCAACTTGCAATGGTGAGGGAAGCAGAGAATTAGGAGGGTTGTCCAATGGTCATCGCCTCAGCCGATGCCCATGATGCCCATGATGCCGCTCTGAGAAACAAACCAGAAGCAAACAAGAGACTTTGACACGTTCGTTGAAGACCCAGTTCAATAAATGTTCAAAAGATTCCGATTGGACGCAGTTCGTATCTCTCGGTGGAAGTGTCAGTGCGGTGAATTTTTCTGTTGTGGTCATATTATTCCTTGGAATATTGCACTTTTCAGTCGCACATAGGACGACGCTTCGGTGCCAGTCACATGTTCCTCTCCAATCACAGGACAGGCAAAGAATACGTTTCGCTCAGATGCATGACTAAACTCTACCAACACTTCCAGTCATCATTTCATTCTTCTCTGACTTTTGTGAGTTTGCGTGCGTGACAGTGCCTGCCCTCAAAATCAGCAAACCTGTTGGGATTTGGGCCCACCCCTTGTCTTGAAGAGAAACCGTGACAAATTGCGAAAGCAAATCGGTCGGATAGGAGAAACAGGGATAGCTAGCCTCTTGCGTGTGACCTTTCCGGGTTTCCAGAAAATTAGGCTTACAGTGTTGACAGCCAAACCAGTCTTGAACAACTTGTTGCTGTAGGCAGGGTGGGCTAGCCACCCTCACATTGACATGTTGGTGCGGCTGTTTGGGGCTGGCTAGCCGCCCCAGTGTTTCATTTGCAACATGATCTAGAGAGGCAAGGAGATGAAGGTTTGTCACAAAGTTCTCTTTCTATTTCGCCTGCTTGCTGTGGTCGTCTGATGTAGCGGGTCTGAAAGTTTGATGTGGGGCATCTGGGAGATTTTGTTAGTTCCAAGATTAGTGATTCTGGCTTCTGTGCTGAGCAGCACACATCCAAATGTTACCCAGTGTCTTTGCAAACTTGCAACCTCCCGGCACGTTTCACATACTGTCTTTGCTCTCTGGCGTGGCGGCTCAGTTGCCCGCATGGGCGTGGAGGGCCATGGCGCATTTCTCATTGGAACGTGTGTTATCTCCTGTGCCGACGTCTGCATTTCCAGCTGTTTCAGAAATTCTTTCCTCGATACCCTCGCACCTTTGCCCTCCATTTTTGCAGAAAGTGCTGGAAACAAAGCATGAAGTGAATCTAAGCCTGAAGCAAGTGGAGAACGTTCTGTGGAAAATCGAAACCTTCTTGCCCTGCATGGTGAGTGTGTCTCATCCGTTGGGACAAAACCCGTTCCAGTTAAAGAAGTACCAGGAGCTTGTCCCAGATGTTCCCACCGTCTGCGTGCCGTCTCTGGTAACGTCATGCGCTTGCTGTGGTGGTGCCTTAGAGGACAAGGCAGGTAGATCTTCTTCCCGCTTAGTGAACAATTTGCGTGGAAGTGATGAGATGGACAATCGTTTCCTGATTTTCACTCAAGCAGCTGGAGTTCTCTTTGCGGAGTTCAAGGAAGGGTTTTGCTCTGCTTGTCGATTGTATTTTCTTGGTTGCTGGCAATATGAGAAAAAGGCTGGGGCCTTTCATCACATGGACAAGCTGCACTGCTGCGGGTTACAGGCGGATGTGGATGTGTTTGCGCCTAGGCATCGCTAAGGTTGCATGTTTTGTGCTTTCATTGATGAAATTTTCTGCGGGTTATGTTCATGACGGACAGAAGTTTGAGTTTGGCTGACACGCAGTTGCTTCACATCCCCAGTGTCAGTAGGCTTGCGTTGTTACGCTCAGGTCGTCCCTCGTTATCGAAGCTTCTTCGCCGTTGAAATCGGCTTGCTGCATTCAATCACAGATGAAATTTCCCATAGCGGCGCGACCTTTTCCTCTGCTGTGCTGCGATGGGTGAAGCAACACCCAGAAGAGGGCCAAGTTCGACTGCTGCAAGGAAAGGACCTGACCATGCTAGAGCGTTGCCGCAAACGGTTAGAAGAGGCCTGGTACTTATATCACTGCAGCAAACTTAGCTGCGAAGTTTTGCGTGGCATCCAGTGGCGCTTGACGCAGGAGAATCATGAGATGTGTAGTTGCTTGGTTTTCAAATTGCATTGTCAGAAGGAAATGTACAGTTTTGGGGTACGAGCAAATGGATGATAATCAAGTAGCTGCGGCGCGACAATCCTAGTGTTACACAAATCAGTTACATTGAGCACTTCCAGTTTTGTAGGGTCGTGGAACCAGGTTTTTGCTGTTGTGTTGAAATTGACGGAGCGTTGCCAGTAGGGCTGAAGATATTTCCGAAACTGTGGCAGGACTTAGATGGCTTTGAGGCTTCCTTGTCCCAAGTTCTACCTCATTTGCGGAAGCAAAGGCTGAACAAAGTTGCGGAGCACATCCACAGCTGCCCCATATGTCAGCAATGTGTGTGGATTTTGTTGGATGGAAAGCAGGGTGCTCGGCGATTCATCTGCGCCGGTCTAGAGGGTCATCGAACATTTGCAGATCTAGGGGTGTCAATTTACACTGGATGCATGAATCACGCGGGGCCCAACGATGTCTTTTGCAAGCGTTGTCGCCCAAGCAGTTTGCTGCAGAGCGCTTTGATTCCACAAGAAAAAGTGCTACAAGTCGAAACTTGTCCATCTGAAGACGGTTTGTCAGTGGAGACTTGGTACTTGGTCCGTTGCAAGTGTCCACAGAATGGCATCTTCGAAGCACCTTTGCCCCGCAAGGAAGTGCGCACAGATCTACTGGCAGAGTTCGAGAAAGGGGCCTTGCCCAAAAAGCGAGATCATGGTAACCTGCGTACTCAATTTCGCTGGCTGAAGAGTGCTCGCATGGTTCGTCAAGCTGCCTTGAAGCGCGCTGGGCCATGCAAGCCAGCGCGCCGTGGAAGAGACAGCAAGAAGGAGGAGGTCAAAAAGCTTCCGGGCGGATGGCTGTCGCAGGCGTATGTCGCATTCCTCCGCGACACTGACAAGTCTACAGATGGCAGTGAGCTTGCTGAGTGCGGTATTGATAAGGAGAAGAAAACTTTGAAGCGCAGGCGATGCACAGGTGGCATTTTAACTGCTACCCTTTCCTGTGGTCAGCTGGTGGATTGGCTAGAATTACCTCGTGGAGAAGCCCTCGATGTAGTGTACACCTTTGTTCTGGATGTGATTAAAGAGCTCTCGACCCGGCAAGTGCAGGTGAAGTGCGTAGGATATGACAACGCCTGTCGGCTCCTTGCAATGGCTGAGCGTTGTGAGAATTTGTGCAGCCCATGGACCAACAAAGTGACGGAGTGTCGAATTGTCTTGGATAGGTTCCACAAGGGAAACCACTCTTGGTGTCTTCGTCATCGCCCGCAGGCGCCAGGGAAGTTAAATAAGAGGAATACAAACAAAGGCAATGTGAGAGAGACAGTGTTTCAATACCGAAGCAGGTTGGAAATTTGCGCGTTCGCGCTTAGCATTTGCCTGCAAGGTCATGTAGTTTGTTCAGCAGTGAACACCCGTAGCAGTACCACCATCTCTTTTGCATCCTTGATTTGGGTCACAAGCTCATGTGTCTTTGAAAAGGATTGTGAAAACATGTGCAATGCATTGGCCGCATCCATTCTCCTCAACCAAATGCTGCCAGGTGGATCCAGATCATCCAGACAACATTCCTTTGCTGCAGTTTCGCAACTCGGAGAGCTGTGAGCAGTTGAACGCATGGATCTCTGGTCGCATTGCTGCTGCCTTGAACTTGACAGGCGCTAGATTTGGTGTCTATTGGCATGCTCTTTTTGCTGAGCACAATGAATGGCTGGAGCAATGTAGTGCGGCGCGTCGTCGTCGCTTCCAGGCTGGCTTCTTGAAGAGAAACCCAGACAAATGCGAAAGCAAATCGGTCGGATAGGAGAAACAGGGATAGCTAGCCTCTTGCGTGTGACGTTTCCGGGTTTCCAGAAAGTTAGGCTTACAGTGTTGACAGCCAAACCAGTCTTGAACAACTTGTTGCTGTAGGCAGGGTTGGCTAGCCACCCTCACATTGACATGTTGGTGCGGCTGTTTGGGGCTGGCTAGCCGCCCCAGTGTTTCATTTCAACATGATCTAGAGAGGCAAGGAGATGAAGGTTTGTCATAAAGTTCTCTTTCTATTTCGCCTGCTTGCTGTGGTCGTCTGATGTAGCGGGTCTGAAAGTTTGATGTGGGGCGTCTAGGAGATTTCGTTAGATAGTTCCAAGATTAGTGACTATGGCTTCTGGACTGAGTGGCACACATCCAAATGTTACTCAGTGCCTTTGCAAACCTCTAACCTCCGGACACGTCTCACACACTGTCTTTGCTCTCTACTTTCTGGCGTTGCAGCTCAGTTGCCCGCATGGGCTTGGAAAAGCCTGCTCATTAGCCGGCGGAAGGCTAGTTGCAATAAAGGCAGCTTGTTTGGGTCCAACCTTTTTGGCACATGTCACGACTCGGAGGAAGGCTAATTTAAGACATATAGGATCCTAGAAGATGTAAAAGCAGTTATAAGTCAGCACGGCTAGGTTTGACAGACGCGCAGCCATGGGTCGGAAAGGCCGTAGTAAAAAGGATGCGGCGGAAGACCGCGATCCTGGAATGTGCAAAGCAGACCTCTTGCTGGCATACCAACTCATGGATACAACCAATCCATTCCCTTCGGCCTCTGTAGCTGCGAGGCAACCTCTGGCTTGGAAGGTTTGCTGCGCGTTGGCCCAAGCAGATTCCTTGCATCCTGGGTGCATGTTTGTGCACATGTTGTGCTTGGTGGCTCTGACTCTCAATGCGGTGCAGGTGAAATACTCTGGCTTGCTGGGAAAATTCTGCAATTTGATGGTCTTGCAACATGGTCCGCCGGGGGACGGCAAGAGCATAGCGCTGTGGCTAGATCTTCACATCCTGAGTTACTTTGACAAACTGAGACTCTGGGTGGAAAATGGACCTGATAGTCAAGTCACCCATGGTCACGTCACACATGTCCTTTATGAAACAGTCTTGGTACTAGTATAGTACTATACATATCCTCCCAAAACCCTCCCATCTATAAACCAGTATGTATAAACCAAAAACCCCATATACATAGTTCAACATGTATATCCGTATACATACATAAAGAATCGTGATACGCGCCGTCGATTGTTCGTCTTCCTTTCTCAGCTGTGATTCCTCATTCGAGGTCCAAAAAATTTTTTCTTCCAAAAAAAAATAAAAATCGCCGTTCCGCCAAGATCCGATTTCATGACATGTAAAAACCTCTGCAAAACGAATGACAGTTGAAACAAGGTGCCGATCACTCACGCAGCAATTCTTTTTCGCGCTTTGGCTCTTTATTCAAGGTTGGTGATCCCAAGACCTGTTGGAGATATGCTTTCACATCAAAGTAAATTGTTCCGGTGTGATTTTCCGAGCATTCTCCACATTCCCGGGTTTGGGTGGGTGGGACACTTTGGTCTCCAACCCTGTTTGGTCCACTTACTGGCCACCATATAAGTATAAATTCATATACCGTCCATAAATTCCAAATTGAAATGATTGAACAATTGCACAGGTTTGACATTGAAGATTCCGTCAAATGTCAATTCCGAAAAACCTGTTTTGGACAACATGGTTTTGTTTGGCAATTGTTTTTCAACCAGTTTAGATTTACTTCCGAGTTACCGGGTTTCGCGTGAGACGTAAACCAACCCAGAAGAAACCGCGTTACGCGTAGATAAAGGAGGTAACCGAAATCACTACACAAAAGTGATGTGAAGATTTCCAGAGGAGGAAGGAAAGATGTTTCACCGGATACTTCAGCGGAAGTATCAACATCAAGTACTAACTAATACACTATCGCAACGAGTCGCGAGTGCGTACTAGTATAGTACTATACATATCCTCCCAAAACCCTCCCATCTATAAACCAGTATGTATAAACCAAAAACCCCATATACATAGTTCAACATGTATATCCGTATACATACATAAAGAATCGTGATACGCGCCGTCGATTGTTCGTCTTCCTTTCTCAGCTGTGATTCCTCATTCGAGGTCCAAAAAAATTTTTTCTTCCAAAAAAAAATAAAAATCGCCGTTCCGCCAAGATCCGATTTCATGACATGTAAAAACCTCTGCAAAACGAATGACAGTTGAAACAAGGTGCCGATCACTCACGCAGCAATTCTTTTTCGCGCTTTGGCTCTTTATTCAAGGTTGGTGATCCCAAGACCTGTTGGAGATATGCTTTCACATCAAAGTAAATTGTTCCGGTGTGATTTTCCGAGCATTCTCCACATCCCATTGGTCAACGAGGGAAGTCACCACGGCTCCAAAAGCTTTTGCTTTTTGGCCTTCCTTGTCTTTACCGGCTCGGCGACCTTACGTTTCTTCTCCGCTGCCAGCTCCATGTGAAACTCATTGGCCTTTTCCGTAAGTTCACTGAGGACCAACCATTTGGTGTCCCCACCAACAAACTGCACACGGCAATCCATGGGAAACTTCGTGAAAACCTGATTTGTCAAATCGTCTGCAAGTTGGTTTTTCTCTCTCGGAATCCATTGAAGATCTAGTTCGCAATTCCGGGCACGAAGGGTCTCTGAGAGCTCCATGATCAGCACCGTGAGTGGATATTTTGTACTCATCAACCGGCTGACTGCATAAGAATTTCCTTGGTTATCTGTACCAGCTCTCACCCAACACCGGCCCTTGCCACCTCTCTGTAGTCCATTAGCCCAAAGTCTGACAGCCACCAACGTAGCCAATAGTTCCAAAGCTGCTATTACCCGTTTTGGGTCTTTACGAACAAAAAGCCACGGTGCCCAGCTTTCTTGCACCTCTTCTGAGAACCACGAAATTATGCTACCTTCCTTTGATTGCAAGAAGCCTCCTATCCAAGCACCCTGCTCTGTAGCCTTTGCATCTGTAAAGAAAACGAGATCTGCTTCATTATCAGTTCGGATGGGAGTTGGCTCTTGTAGGCTGCCCCCATCTCGAGTTCTTTTAGCCAGAAACCAAAAAATTGTACGTAACATTGCCGGTATCTTCAAGAGGCCTTTCTTTGTCCTCACTGCTGCAGACCAGGCATATAATGGCCCCAAGAAGGGCCTCTCCCATGTCAAGGCGTTCGCTGCGAAGCCCAATCGGCCAAGTCCTTGTTCCATCTCCTTTGAAGTTGTGCGACCTGTCTGAGCCATCTTTCTTGTCCAATTTTCCATCCAAGCCGCTCTGCTTTCGGACAGGCCCAATCTCATTGTAGTGTAATCGGTAAAAAGACCGATCCATTCCACCTTCAAGCCACCCCGTTGTTTGCTCCATTTGAAAGGAAAGCCCATAGTCGCAAGATACAAATAGGATAATACTATGCCCCTTCTACCTTGTATCCCAGCTCCAAGCGATTCCAAATCATCAGCAAAAATGAGCATCTCAATAGGCCGCTCTGGTCCAAGCAATTCGTGGGTCAAGCGGATACCAGAGGCCGCTATCCTTCCCCACCAGTAACTTGCTGATGCTACGCCAAAGGTTCCAACCTTGTTGATGAAGATAAAAGGATCATCGTTCTTGACCCTGCATGCCAAGAGCCCACATTCAGAAGGTTCGTGTAGGAAACGTCGGTGAGCTTTGCTGATATCCCCAACCAGACTGAAAACAATGTCACCCCTTGCTTTGTAATACGCAAGCAAATACATCTTCTCCCTAGCTCCAGGACTCCTTTGTTTATCCCTGCAACGGATACGATTGTTCACCTTCGTCCCGTGTGTCGCATCGTGGATGATGCGTTTCTTATTTCCATGAGATTCCTCCACCAAGACTGCAAGCGAGGAAATTGCCACCTTTGAACCAAACCTCTCATGTGCTTGTTCCAAAGTTAGTTTCTCCATCAATCCTTCTTTGCACTCTTCTGCAAAATGTTCCCTTACAAATTCCTCATGGTCACCCACCGAATCGTAGTTGTTTCTCCATATCTCTGCTTTCATATAGGGGTCATCTTCCAGCTTCCATGAAGTCTGCTCCTCGTACATATGTGGCGTCCTTGGTAGGGGATGTAACACCCCAACCGGATAGCCGCTTTCTCCCTGCAGAAGAAATTTGTGGTCAGGGTCCCCAGCCCTATCCAGTAAGGCTTCCATCAATCGCAATTTGAAGGGCTGCCCTTCCGCAACATGTTGAATGTTCTCTGTGTTGTAACCTTCTCCATGAAGTCTGTCGCACCACAATTGTACCAGTTGGGATGACAAGGCATCGTTTTTCACCAGTTTACAGCCCTCTTCACCTTTTGCCGCCATCTCAAAACAGATTCGGTCAAAGTTCTGTTGCCCCCCACAGTGTTGTAGAACCAAGTTGTATGAATCCTCTCTCAAACTGTTCCAAAAATTATCCCTATTCCAAACACGTTTCTCCAGGTCCCACCTTCCAGGTGAGGCTAAACCACTGCCATCATGAAACATCCTAGTCTTTCCAGGCACCTTGCATTGTCTCGGCTCCCCATGACCCCCATTCAGCTTCCAACCCTCCGGTTGCATAACTGGAAAACTTTCAGCTCCAACCTTTTCCTCCACACCGTTCATGCATTCTGATCCCCCACCGCAGGCAGAAATGGTGTGGAGGGAACTCCAAACAGTCAAAATTTGTGTTGCCACCCATTTACAAAAACTGCTTGGCCATTGCTCTGTACCCGTAGTAGTAAATTTACCCCCCTGATGTCCAATCAAACGCACTGTTGCTTGTCTCCGTTCCAACGGTCCTTGATAGAAACCCTGCTCGTCAAAACACGGCAGGCCAGGTTTCATGCATTTTTCATCCATGTGCAAACCTTTCAACAATAGGCGTGTCGGTTTCAGGTATTCAGTTCCATAGTCAGATTGGTAAAAAGCACATGTTTGAAACTTTCCAGACTCAATCAACTGTAAAAACAAAGGCCACTGCCACATGCTCGCTGGTCGTTGTCCTGCATATGGACCAACCTGAACCGCACCTAGATCCTCCGGATTCTCAAAAATGACAATTGTATCCATGTCTTGTACCAACTTGCATACCTGAAAAGAAAAATCTGTCATTGAATTTCCCCAGTTTGCTTTTCTCCTTTCCGTCCAAGTCAAACGCAAGTGTCCTCGCAAGTGAACATAGGATCGCACTGGCCTGGGTCCTCTTCGATTCGAAAAGGTAGCTCTGGTGAAAGTTGAACACGGTGGACTCAAAATGATTGCAGCATAGAAACCAGATGAAATCTTGTTTAACAGTTCCTTCTGTACTGAAGCTTTTGTCAGATCCAAATGCGGCCTCACTCTGATATCCACCATGTCTATCTGTACTTTTACTCCCCACTTTGCGGAGAGCTTTTTCGTCCATGCAGCCACTGAGCCCTTCCGGGCAATACCTGAAAACAAGTACAGGACCCTGCAAACATCTGTATTATGTGAAACCTTGACTCCATCCGTAGGCCCGAGTCAGTTGCCTGTAGTATCAGGCGTTGGCTTCTCCTTGCAATTCAACGCGTTGTGGCCCTTTGCAAAACATTTGCTGCAAAGGTGCGCAAACTTGCACTTCTGATAGCTGCACTTGCCCGCATTGAACCTGTAGCATATCTTCTCACCATTGGGACCCTGTCCAGATCCTTTCTGTGGACCCTTTGTCTTGCTCTTGCCTTTTCCTTTTCCTTTTGGGTTCCATGTCCCTGGGCTTGTTGAGCTTGTACCCGGGGTGTATGATCTCTTTGAATACAGTGCCAACGGTGTAATGAAATGCCGCTCTTTCGTGGTAGGGCATTTCCATGCCTTTTCCAAAGCCGCCCCAATCATGAGCTTCTCCGTCTGCATCAACGTGTAGGCACGCTTTCTGATTGCATGCTCATATGATAGTACCAGGCTCCATGGTGGCGTCTGAATCTGTTGACCATTCAAATCCGTTGAGCTGAGCCCCCAAACATAGTCGCCCAAGATGTAGTCCTTGTACTTATCGAAGACCTCTGCTAACATCTTGTATCTCTTCTCTATTCACATGCTTGAGAGCCAACATCATCAAACAGTTCTGCATCACATTTAGCCTCCTGCGAAGCTGCTCTGGCCCTGTCGGAAGCGGTACATTGGTGCTTCCTTTCTTGACTGAAAGGCTTCCCTTGCTGTCAAAGATCGGGACTAAAACGTCCGGGTCGATTTCATCCTTTGAAACCACTTCTGCAAGCGTCTCTGCACGAAATTCACCATTTTCCAGTTCTTGCAGCTTTTTCTCAAGGTATTCTTTCGAAGGCATGACTCGATCTTCCACGTGTCCAACAGTTGTTTGGAAGAAATTCCTGAGTTGGACGTAGTCTCCCACTGGAATGGGTTTAGTCCATTCCCTTGTACTCATCTCAGCTTCCACCTCCGCTTGTCGCTTGGCTTTTGTAAGAGTATCTTTCCATGAGCAAATAACCGATGCTACCTGTGCCCTTTCTGCCAGTGAAGCTGCTGCATCGATGTTGAACTCGGTGCGCAAAACCTCTATCAAATCCTGCTCATCCCTGAAAAAGGATGAAAATTTGTTCACCGTCACCACACCATTCTCGAAGAAATGCGCTTGAACTGTATCTGGAACATCGTTTCTGCCCAATGTAAATCTCAAGTCAGAGCTGCCCAATTTCAGGGCGTCAGCCAGTGTGCGAGGCCCCATTGGTGGAGCAGCCATGGTTGCGCTAGGAGTGCCCAGTGCGCAGTGCAAAAGAAAAATCTCAAGATTTCATTGACATGTCGTTCCACTTGTCCAGCTTCTGCTCAAATATTGTGAACTTATATATATATATATATATCATTTGTGCATTCCAAATATCCTGAACTAAACCGCTCAAAACAAAATCCTATCCAGTCAAGTTATAACATGCAAGATAAGTCAAACTCAAACGTCTGACTCTCTCACTTCTTTGAAGCCAAAAATACCGGGAATCTGCGGATTCCTTTGGCTTATCCTGTTGCCTCTATTCCGGAGGCAATTTTGATGTTCCATGTTGTGTGCCCTAACATGTTCCGGTCAAGATGATGCTTCTGCCGATCTTGACAAGTTTAGGACACACTGCATTGAATCAGATCCATCGGATCTTTTGTTTTCTCCGCCCGGTGGTCTATTCGACCGCTAAACCCATTTTGGGTTAACGATATATGTGAAACCCTTGTAAGAAGACCATGTTTCAAACATGCCACAAAAGAGAAGTTCAACAAACTGAGAGCACTGCATCAACTTGAATCGCTGCTGCTGGACGACGTCGATGTATCTGATGATGTCTCACCAGAACTGTCATCTGCGTTCTTGTCTTTCGGCCAACAAACCCTGCAGACATGTGTATATTCTGAATCCTGCGGTCTGTTCTCAAACTCCACCGACTCTTTGAAGATTCTCTCTCTTGCCATCCAACAACCATTCACAGCTTTGTGTAACCTCTTGCAGTTCTTTGCAGTTGTGACAACTATGAAACCACTGACTCTGCATGTCTTTGTATCTTCTGTATGGCCCTCGTCCTGAACCTCTTCCAAGACGTCCCCCTCGGTTCCTTCAGGAGGTTGTTCTGCTGGATGCTCCCAGGTGCCATCTGATGCAAAAGAATCCATTGCCAACATTAACTTGCTGACCAGTTCACTGCGCTCCTCTTCAGCAATCTCCGTTTTTCTGTTCCGAAGCCATGCATCTGCACTCTCTGCCACGTCAATTTCATCCAGAGTTTTAAAACGATGTGGTTTCCTCATTGCTTTTCCATACAATCCTTGAAGTTGAGACACCAAACCATTGTATGACCGCACATATGTATCACTTGCATCTGGTTTCCATCTGCCTACCAGATCACGCTTTGAGGTCTCGACTCCAAGCATAGCCAAGGCTGTAGGCAGTGTTGCCCTCTCGCTGTGTTCTGTCCAAAAAGACGCCAGTTCTTCAGGGAAAATAGGACTGAAATCATACAGTCCTACCAGATTCTTTCTCAAACGGCATGAATATGAAGTGACATCCTGATATGTTGCAAACTTACGCTGAAAACCAGCCCAGTTGTCTGTCAGCTTCGGCAAAAGATAGTCCCTCTCAAAACCCGCCTGCTGCTTCAACAATTGAAAGCCAGTATAGATCCAAGACTTGTCCCAGACGAAAGCTTTCTCTGAGATACAGACTGGCAACTCCTGTACTCTCTTCCCAGGCCCTGACGTCTTTGTTACCCTGAGTGTTGTCGTAAGTCTCTCACCTGTAAAATGAAGTTCAGCAGGTTTGATTTTCTGCATATCATCAAAACGAAGTGCTCCCCAAATCTTCAACAATTTCACCCATGCAATGACCCTGAATCCAACTGTCTGTTCCGTGTCCATGACAGCCATCTCCAAGGACTCGACTGCCACTGCCGGATACCGTGGAGCCCTTCTGATGGGCGGGGTGTCTGCTGCCAACTTCTCAGTTATATAATCCCTGATCTGACAAACTGCCTTTGTTGTTGCAACAACTTCTGACTCCGGCAAACCAGCTGTTTTCTCAAACCATGCAACTGCTTTGCAAATGAAATTCGGAATAGTGGCACCACAGGGTTCATCGAAACGTGTAAAAAGGTATTCACAGAACATGCCAGGGTGTACAAAAGAATCAGCTCCCCATGTCAAATGCTTCCATGACTGCCAGTCCTTCCAAGCCTTGACATAACGCTTCAAAGTGCTTGCACGTGTCTTGCCAGCTATAGCCACATGAATGCGTTCCTGATTAACACAAACTTCCATGCCATTCAAAACAGGTGCATTAATTTTTAACAGTTCCAAATAGAGTTCCTTTGCCCATTTCTCCTTCTGAGTCTCCTCATGGTTATGTTTTGCCAACGTCTGCTCAGCTGTAACCCTTTGCCTCCTACTAATCGGAATCCAACTTGCATCACTGTTTGAGCTGCCTAAGGCACCGGTCAAACCTGTCGCTGTTGATTTCCTGGTGAAACTGGACTGCAAAATGCTTCCAACATGCAAAGGGTCATGCTGATGTTCTCCACGTAGACGTTTCTGATAAGGCTCCGACTGAGAAACAGTACCTAACCAGCCTGAAACAATCTCCTCATGAACATGCTCACAAATAAGGCCCAGATCATCGCAAATCTGATGTGCAATCGCTGATGCTTCATCTGAACTGAAAACTGCAAGTTTTCTCCTGTCCAAACCGTATCTCAGTAAGACATTCCACATGTCTCTCTCCAGGGCATCCGACTCCATCGGGATTACGAGTAAGCCGGGGCTACAGCCGCATTCCACAAGACACTTTGGTCTCCAACCCTGTTTGGTCCACTTACTGGCCACCATATAAGTATAAATTCATATACCGTCCGTAAATTCCAAATTGAAATGATTGAACAATTGCACAGGTTTGACATTGAAGATTCCGTCAAATGTCAATTCCGAAAAACCTGTTTTGGACAACATGGTTTTGTTTGGCAATTGTTTTTCAACCAGTTTAGATTTACTTCCGAGTTACCGGGTTTCGCGTGAGACGTAAACCAACCCAGAAGAAACCGCGTTACGCGTAGATAAAGGAGGTAACCGAAATCACTACACAAAAGTGATGTGAAGATTTCCAGAGGAGGAAGGAAAGATGTTTCACCGGATACTTCAGCGGAAGTATCAACATCAAGTACTAACTAATACACTATCGCAACGAGTCGCGAGTGCGTAATCATGGGGCAGACAACCATGAAAGCATGGGCATGGGCATGAGTGAGGGTAATAGGGCAGGTCACATTCAATGTCATGCTGGTGGCTGTTTCTGTCGCCGCAGCTCAGGAGACAAGCGTGCACAGGCGAAGTACAAGGCAGAATATGAAGTGTGGCGGAGTTCTGGCTCAGGGCCCGTAGAAGAACCGACAAAGCCTCCACCTCAAGATAGCATTGTGAATCGCATGACTTGGGTGGGTTTGGGCCAACACATGCACCAACAAGATGGCTGCGCCATCTTAGCTCTGCACGAAGGACGTACGTTCCTCCAGCACACATTCGAAGGATCTGTGGGTGGCGGCATCGAAGAATTGAACCAGCTAAGCGATCATGACTGCTATAAGAACACCATTTCTTCACAAAGTGGCAGATACTGGGTTTAAAACCCGCATCTCATTGCATTGGTGATGATGCACTGTGAAGAAATAGTGCAGCAAGCTTCCCAAGAAGATTCTGTGGCTGGCCTGTCCCGTTTTCTGCTGGCCAAATTCCCGTGTCGTGTGTTGAAGATCCGCGACCCGCAGTCCGCAGAGCAAGCGCAGAGTGAGCTGGATGAGTGTTTCAATTCTTTGGGCTATGATCAGGTGGTGTCAGCTATGGCGCACGTGCTGACAATCAGCAAGTTGCTCTTCCCGCACAATGAAGCACGCGATGATGATGCAGAGCACCGCTGCTTCTCACATGTGAGTGGCTTACACACCATGCCATTCGCTGCGTCAGTGAAACAGCAGTTCATCAACACTTTTAACAAGTACGTTGACAAGGCGCGCGCTGACCAGAAAGTGTTGGGTGGTCAGAGCAGCCGGCTGAACAAGGAGAAGACCAGAGCCTTGCAGTTCATCGCTCCATTAGATGTCTTTGAAAAGGTGATCGCTTGGCTTTTGCAGAAGGATGGGCACAGGCTGACAGAGGGGCAGGACACTGAGCTCAGCGGCGAAGAGATCATCCGGTCTCTGGCGCATGTGAGAAGCTCAGTGCATATGGAATGTGACGTGACTGGAAAGTTCACAGCAGGATGTTCTCAGAATGTGAGGGCACCCTGACTGTTTGCAAACTATTTCTGATAGCTGCGCGTTTTCTGAACGGTATCCGCGCCAGTGCGCCCATAGACATGTGAACATCACCCATAAAAGATGCCGCGGCCGAAGGCCACGTCATGGACATGTGAAAAGCTACTGTGTGTGACTAAGGTGAACATAGAGCAAGTTGCCACTGTTTTCAAGCCCTCACAGATCCATCCTTCCGCGACGACGGAAGCTGTGGAGACGGCAGTGGAGCTTGGCAAGTGGTTCCACGCGAGTTTCCAGAACACTGTTGGGGCTCGTGCGTTGGTGAGCGAGTTCAAGACTGAGCGCAGCAACATGATTCTCTTACCTCGTCCTTGCGTGAAAGAAGCTGCCGGCCTCATTTCGCATGAGACGCGTGCGCATGTGTGCCTCGTTGTATTCACAGGGCGGGCAGTTAGAGTCAAAGGGTCGGCATTGGGCAGGTGCGCGGTTGGGCTGCCCAAGAAGCAGGGGTGCAATTAGGGATAGGCTGCTGTCATGACCGGGGTTTGGAACTTGCTAAGGAATATTGCAGCTGCATTGGAGTGTCTTTCTTTGAAGACGTGGACCTTGAAGGCTTTCGCCTTGAATGCAGAGCACACCGCGGCACAAGTGCGGGCCAGACTTCTAGACCTTTTGATTTTAGCGATGATGGGTTTCGTCGTCGTGGGCTGCGGCCGCTACGCTCTAGTTGGGTATGCCGAGGATGACGAGGATTTTGTCATTTGCTGCAACAGGCCTGAGCAGCGCAAGTGCACTTAGATAAATCAAAATGTCTTGCGTGTCTGTTTTGCCGTCATGTTGTAGAGAGTCTGCAAGGCAGCTGGCAAAGTTGCAAGAGATAATCTAGAATAAGTTGGTCCACGTAGCCTTGAGGGAGCCCTCTAAATGTAAACACAAGTCGAGGCATGAACTTCAACCATATAGCATGCTAGCGCGAGGCTCACCAGTTGGCGGTCTTGGGTACCAACCAGTGGAGCAGAGAAGCCGAAGCTGGACCAGGATGCATGTGATGATGCCATATCGTGCATCCACCGTCTTCTGCGGGGGGAAGCTGCAAATGTGGATGGATGTCGAAATGTGTTCATGGTGGATCCTCTCGTGCCTACAGAAGGAAGGGTGTCCGGCGCCAGAGACGGCAGTTCCCTTGACGCAGGAGGCTGTGGACGATCAGGCCCCGCCAGCAAAGAGGTTGCGGCGAGAGAAAGACTTGTGTCGCGATGACTTCTCCAGCAATGTTCCTTTGGCAAAGAACATACTTCTGTACCTACTGAAGTCAGCAGCCTCAAGGGTGACTGTGCGGGTGATACTGGATGTCACAAAGCTGAGGCAGTGTGCTCAGGCAGAGGAATTGGAAGCGATGGCTCGCAATGTGTTTCGCTTGGGAGCTGAGGCAGGGTTGGCTTCCTTAGGCCCTCAAGGTGGCACCTGGACTGGCGTAAAGCCGCCTCCTGAGCATGAAGCCGCAGTTGTGACACTTCTGCGAGAGCTGTTTGAGAATAACATGCAGGGGGTGGAATCAGCTATGAGGAAACGTGCAGTGGCAGAGATCTTTGACATGGGTAAGTGTGAAGCTGCTTTGGCATTGTTGCGCTAAGCAGCACCGGTGTGTGCGCTGTGCAGTGTCCAACAGGGCGCGCAACATGGAGCGTGTGCTGCGCGCGGCAGGAATCAATCCCTGTAGGAGCACATGGTAGTCGAACCGGTTTTGTTGCCTTAAGGGGGGTTGGCTAGCCACCCGCACGTATTAGCGCGGCAATTTGGGGCTGGCTAGCCGCCTCATTTTGCGAATTTGATTTTTCGAAACTACATTGTCGCGTGACCATGATGGAGGCATAAGGCTTAGGGCATGCTGGTTTTGTCGCAGCAGCGCAGCGAGTGCATTGGAAACGCCGCTGTGTGTTGCGATGGCGGATCGCTGACAAAGGCGTAAACAGAACAGGTCTTCTAAGGAATTGTGCGGGGCCACGTAGGTTCCACAGTTCGCATGTTTCAGAAGCATAGTGCCGTCATATTTGCAAGACCAGCATAAATGTAAAGAAGCTCCTAAAATTGTAGAAACCAGTCACTGCGCTAAGCAACATAAGACCCACATAGACCCACCGTTCTGATTGTTGACAACATCCTGTCCTCAGAATCTCACACCCGGCAAGCCATCGCTGTGTCCCTGCCATGTCGCATGTCCACGTTGAAGTGGTGACTGATGAGCGACACACCGTAACCACCGCGCAGCGGCAAGCTGTGGAAATGGAGGCCAAGTGCAAGATCTCCTTGAGAGCGAGAAAAGGGCAGAGGCAGCTGCGCGTGGAAGGCAGTGTTTTTGGTGTCCAACTGGCAAGGAGAATGATGCACGAACTCATGTTGGAAGGACTAGATTTCAATGTTTTTGTTTGGGCCACGGGGAGGCGACTGGGAAGGCTATAGCCTCCCCAAAGTCTATAGAGCAAATAAGTTGCAAATTTCAGAGAGCAGTTATAGAGTCTGCCAACATTGCATGGTAGGACGGAGGCTGACAACGACATCGCCCAAGAGTGCTCCTGCTGTGTCGGGCACTGCGGGATTGCCACCACCATGGCGAGCAGCTCCTCCGGTTATGCCGCCACCACCGAAGAGATGTACCTTGGCTGATAGTTCAAGCATTTTGGGTTGATGTTGCTTTGTGTGGGGAGACACTTACTTTTGCCCGGGAATAAGTTTGAGGTGTGGGTTTTCAATGCGCTTAAACATTGCGCAGGTCGATTGGCGGAGGATGCCACACCACTTGTAGCCTCAGCATCCAGCACCGCTATCCCCGCGTCAGCGAGTACCGCACCAGCTGCCCAGACCATGCCCGCTGCATTGCGTGGATTTGGCTTCACCTTCCATGTGTTTGGGGTACAGCACATATAGTTGGAGGCGACTACCCAATCCGAGTGGACTGCAACGACTTCAACGACCCCTATAGGAATCCTGAGCTGCATGCTCACCCTGGATGGCACTCGCAAACCCTGTGGAATTGTTTTCGCAGCGAGAGCTGGGAAAATCTATTGAGGAATTTGTTCCGTTGGATCCGGGACGAAGCCGCGCCTGGACAGCATCTCTTTGGGATTTTTTGTACGACCGGACGTTACAGGAGCGTTGCGGTGGCGTGGCTTCTGGAAGAGGTTTTGAAGCAGATGAGTGCAGACAGGATCACCGTCCAGTATCTTGCAAGGGAGGCGGGCGAATGGAGCCACCTTTGTAGCAATTGTGGAGATTGCCGAGAGGACAATCCGGCAAAGCAAGAGCTGAAGAGAGCTCTAGCAACTCAACTGACGGAGCTGTGGGGCGAATTGATGCGAAAATGGTGTGCGTGTCATGAGCAGGCTAGCCGCTCAGGGAAGCAGCCAGTGGCTCAGGGGTTAAAGTTTAAAGGCACATACGAGAGACAGGTGGCTAGCCCCTGGTCAGTGTACAGTGTATATAATATAGACATGTCTAGGAACTAAAACTGAGCGCGAAAACCTGTGTGTAGAGTACATGGACGCATGAAACCAAAGAACGTCCTCAATGACAACGTTAGAAAGCAGGTTCGAGAACCGAGGATCGAGGATCGAGAACGAAGGATCGACAATAATGATACGAGGTTGTCACTTGTCAGCTTGTGAAAAGTCTTTCTGAATGCAATGAAGCGGGCAGAGAATCAATCATGATCCACCTGGCAATGCCATGCCGCAGCGGCTCGGTACGGTACCGCATACCGAACCAATAAATACTAAGGGTATATCCAGCAAGATGCCGTGCCAGGCAGCAATTACGCAAAGATGTCCTACAAGGAATCAAAATCAAGGTACTGCATGCACAGCCCCCTCGACCTGTACTGTTCATGTCAACCTGAACGCAGGTGTCACCGGGGAGTTCAGTACCTCATCCTGTAAATGATCCAGCCACAGCATCACTGTACTAGATCGTCCCCCCATAGCATGCTGGCCACACAGCATTTGACCAAGGGCCAGGGAGCACCCCGGAAGGGATCCAAGGAGCAATCAAAAAACACCGCAGCCACAGAGGGGAGGAGCAAAACTTTATAGGCACTGTTCCCCTGCTCGACATGCATGAGACTTTTGCCAAATATATCTGGCTCAAGATCTCGCTCAAGGTGCCTGGTGTAAAAGAGGAACTTTGAGTCTGACTTACTTTGGGCTTTTCCACGCCGCTCGATGAGAATCGAGAATCGAGGATCGAGGATCGAGAATCGAGAATCGAGAATCGAGAATCGAGGATCGAGAATCGAGGATCGAGAATCGAGAATCGAGAATCGAAGATTGAGAATCAAGAATCGAGAATCGAGAATCGAGGATCGAGAATCGAGAATCGAGGATCGAGAATCGAGGATCGAGGATCGAGAATCGAGAATCGAGAATCGAGAATCGAGAATCGAGGATCGAGGATCGAGAATCGAGAGTCGAGAATCGAGAATCGAGAATCGAGAATCGAGAATCGAGAATCGAGGATCGAGAATCGAGAATCGAGGATCGAGAATCGAGGATCGAGAACAGGGCGTGTCAAGCCGGGTCTGATTTTTGAGCATGCATTGTTTGCATGACATGACGTCACTTTTCACAATTTAATAAAGTGGTTGACATGTTCATTTGAAACTGTTTACAAACAAATGTGCAATGTTGATACGTTGGCGAACAAATTTGAAATTCAATTTTTAGTCGTAATTCCAAACTGACATGTTGTTACTAATATTATGTGATATTCAAATCTGGTTTGGTTTGGTTGGTTGTCAGCACCAGTAGGTGAAACCGGGCCCGCGCTTCCCCCGGCCAAATTCTGGGGTTCAAGTCAGCCATCTAGAACTAATGCAGCCAAGACGCAGCTTCTCAAGGAGAAGAAAAAATGAAGAAAAATCAAGGCCGAGCAACAACGTGAAGCGCCATGCCAGCACTGGGGGCAGAAGGGAACAAGAGATAGAGAAAGAAAAGATTGAGGTACTGCAAAAGGGCCAGAACCGGCAGACAGCAAACCAGGCGCAAAGAAGATTGACAACCAAGAAAGTGGAGGAATAAAGAGGAAGGCCACACCGGACACGGGGTCAAAGAGGGCCAAGGCAAAGCCAAACAACAAAGAACCACAGCAAAAAAAATAGCGGCAGCGAGGCGAGATATGGAACGGCCATTGATCTTGAAAAGGGTGCTCGTGACATGTTTCACGATCAACGGGGCCCATACGGCGGGTGGGAACTGCAATAGCGATCTACGGCCTTGTTGGGATATTGCCAAGCACAAAAGCACAGCGCATGTCTGCTGAGGCGAAACCCCATACATACCTGGACAGGTGTCCGAGGCTGGTAACTTGACACATAGAGTTGATGCGCTTGTTCATCGATGATGCACATGTCAGGTGAGCCCGTCGGGCAAACATCAAAATGCGGGATAGCTTTACGCAGTCAGCTTCTGCCACAAAGCGAAAACACGCAAAATGGTGTGATATGGTTGACGGGTTCCATTCAAGACTGGGGCACAGGCAAAAAGATGCAGGGGAGGAACTACTAGGCCAACTATCTAACCGGTGATACAGCCGGAGCCAAGACTTACGAACACGTTCGCTGAAGTGCGCTAGACTTGACCATAAGCCACAGGCCAAGGAGGACAGGCTACTCAGCAACTGGCAATGCTTCCACTGGGAATGCTATGAACTATTCAAAGACCTGGTTACACTTACATTCTTGGCTGAGTTCAAAATACGCGGTGAAGATGATAGCCCATCAAAGCCAAGCTGACAGTTTGGAGAGACCTGTCCTGCCAGTTGCACCGAGGCAGCAGGAAGAAAACACAGAAGGGTCGAGCGCTGGAAGACGGATAAACGAAGGAGCAGGCAGGAAGGCTTTTAAGGCTGCCCTCTACATGCCTACTGGCGGTGGCGAACACCCAAAGAAGAAAGACAGAACTCAAGTTCTCAAGTTGGGCAAAGCGCAGTGAGGGAGCATGGTCACCGCCTGAAACCCCAAAATTTCCACCAAAGATGTTGGGTAGAGGATGGCTAGGAAGGCGCTTGAGAAGGACCTGGCTGGCAATGCAACGAGAATTTGAAACCATATGCGGACAGCAGGAAAAGACTAGCAGCACAGGGTGCAAAAATGCAAACACGAAGGTGGAGGTTGCGAGCAAGAGATCGCAACCATCTGCAAAATAGATGGAATTTTCCAGAATCAAACGACTTAGTTGCCGATGAAAGGGATTCTATAGCAAGCCAAACCCCGTTTGGAAGCGCAGAATAATGAATAAATGGGCTCTGCGAAGCAATGACATGACTGTGGACGCTTCGTTCCGCACATGGCCAGGAAGGAAGACATTGCACAACATTATAGAAGAGCGCTGCGAAGAACACAGCGGAGACGGAAGAGCCACACCGCAGGAAACAACTACGAATGACATTAAGAAAGGGCAGAAGAGTCTTGGCTGAGGGCTGCTCAGAAACCCAAAGCGCCGAGAACGCTGCAAGACAGACTTAGGGCAGGGAAGGAAAGACGCAAGGATCACACCAGACCGGAGCCAGAAATGAAGAAACAGGACCTGAAATATCAACGATGAGAAGGCTGCGCAAGCACATCGGCCATCAACTAGGGCCACA